CAGCCCCAGCTCCTGGCAACCACTAATCTACTTTCTGTTTCTATAGATTTGCCAGTCCTGTATGTTTCATATAAATGGAATTATGTAATATGTGATCTTTGTGATTGGCTTCTTTCAGTTAGCATAAGGTTTTCAAAGTTCATCCATGTTATAGCCTGTGTTAGTACTTTCTTTTTCTTGCCAAATAATATCCATTATAGGGGTATGTAACATTTTGTTTATTCATTTATCATTTGATGGACATGTTGAGTTTTTCCCCTTTTTGGCTATTAAGAATAATGCTGCTATGAACATTCATGTATGAGGTTTTGTGCAGACCTATGTTTTCATTTCTTTTGGATGGATATCTAGAAATGGAATTGCTGGGTCACCTGGTAACTCTGAGTTTAACATTTTGAATAACCGACAGGTTGTTTTCAGAGTGGCTGCCCCCTTTTACATTCCCACCAAAAATGTGTGAGGGCTCTGGTTTTTCTATATACTCATTAATGTATGTTATTGTCTGTCTTTTTAAATATAGCCCTTCTAATGAGTGTGAGGTGGTATCTCATTGTGATTTTGATTTGCATTTCCCTGATGGCAAATGACTTTTAGTATCTTTTCATCTGCTTATTGGCCATTTGTATATTTTCTTTGGAGAAAGTTTATTCAGATCCTTTGTAATTTTTAAATCACATTATCTTTTTGTTCTTGAGTTGTTAGTGTTCTTTATATATCATGGATATAAGTCCCTTATTGAGTATTTGATTTGCAAATATTTTCTCCCGTTGTGTGGGTTGTCTTTTCACTTTCTTAATGGTGTCCTTTAAAGCATGAAAGTTTTAAATTTTGTCAATGTCTATGAAAAAGGGGAAGAAAAAGTTTTAAAGTTTTAAATTTTGATGAAATCCAGCTTACCAATTTTTTCTTTGTTGCTTATGCTTGAAGTCTCATATCTAAAAACCCATTGCCAGCCAGGCACGGTGATTTCACACCTGTAATCCCAGCACTGGGAGGCCAAGGTGGTTGGATCACTTGATGTCACGAGTTTGAGACCAGCCTGGCCAACATGGTGAAACCCCATCTCTACCAAAAAATACAAAAATTAGCTAGGCATGGTGGCCAGCTACTCGGGAGGCTGAGGTGGAAGAATCACTTGAACTTGGGAGGATGCAGAAGTTGCAGTGAGCCAAGATCATGCCACTGCATTCCAGCCTGGGCAAATGAGAATCCATCTCAAAAAAAAAAAAAACACAAACCCATTGCCTAATCCATAGTGTAGTGAACATTGGCCTACAAGTATCTGCTTAAGCCCCTACTTTCAGTTCTTTTGGGTTTATAACTAGGAGTAGAATTGCTGGGTCATATGAATTCCATGTTTAGCTTTTTGAAGAACCTTCAAACTGCTTTCCATAGAAGTTGCATGATTTTACGTTCCCACCAGCAGTGCACAAGGGTTCCAGTTTTTCTGCATCCTCAGTAACACTTGTTATTTTCTGTTTTTTAATTCTAGTCATCCTAGTAGGTGTGAAGTGGTATCTCATTGTGACTTCGTGTTTTCCTAATAACTAGTGATGTTAAGCACATAAGCATATGAAAAGATGTTCACTGGCCATTCGTATATCTCCTTTAGAGAAATGTTTATCCACCTCTTTTGCCCATTTTCAGTTGGGCTGTTTCTCTTTTTGTTGACTTGTGTGAATTCTTTACATATAATGGATACTAAACACTTATCAGAGATATGATTTCCAAACATTTTCTCATTCTGTAGGTTAGCTTTTCACCTTCTTGAGAATATCCTTTGATGTGCAAGTTTTAGATTGTGATGAAGTCCAATTTATCTTTTTTTTTATTTTGTTGCTTGTGCTTTTGGCATCATATCTGAGAATCCATTGCCAAATCTTGGCTCATGAAGATTCACCCCTGTTTTCTTATAAGAGTTTTATGGTTTTAGCTCATATATTTAGGTTGTTGATCCATTTTGAGTTAATTTTTGTATATGGTGTGAGGTAGGAGTCCATCTTCATTCTTTGGCATGTGATTATCCAGTTGTCCCAGCACCACCTATCTGTTCAAAGAGACTATTCTGTTCGCATTGAATGACCTCGGCAAACCACTTATCTTTCTAAACCTTCTTTTCTTTCCTCTTCTCCCCTATAGTCACTACAATCTCTTTACTATCTCGGGAACCTGCAGTTGTTTATCTCTGTCTATGCCTCATTTTTTTGCCTAGAATCCTTTTTTTCTTTAGTTCGATGTTCTGTTGTTTTTTTTTTTTTTTTTTTTTGAGACGGAGTCTCGCTCTGTCGCCCGGGCTGGAGTGCAGTGGCCAGATCTCAGCTCACTGCAAGCTCCGCCTCCCAGGTTTACGCCATTCTCCTGCCTCAGCCTCCCGTGTAGCTGGAACTACAGGCGCCCGCCACCTCACCCGGCTAGTTTTTTGTATTTTTTAGTAGAGGCGGGGTTTCACCGTGTTAGCCAGGATGGTCTCGATCTCCTGACCTCGTGATCCACCCGTCTCGGCCTCCCAAAGTGCTGGGATTATAGGCTTGAGCCACCGTGCCCGGCCTAGTTTGATGTTCTGAATTTTCCTAATCCACACTGATCTTCCTCAGTACTCGAATTTGGAGCTTTTAATGCTATTCTCTTCTCCTTCTCCTGCATTCCAGTATAAGATGAGCACACTTCTGATTGGGTGATTCATAGGCCTCTGTCTGTTCTTGCCAACTAGGAGGCAGAACTCCTCTGTTACTCCCATAGTGACAGAGAGCTTCTCTGTTTCCCTTAGTACTACCTGGAGGAAGTACTAAGTGAATGAGTGAAACATACTTGTACTGTGATTTATATCAGTAGGTTGTCTTTTTTTAAAAAAACTTAGGTGACTTTTATTGGGTCTTACTGAGTAGGGAGTTGCCTCTGCAATATCTAAAAGAGAATAGAAATAAGATCTTTCAGTGTGCTCAGGCCATCAGACACTCAATGAACCTGAGTTAACATTTCCTTTTTCCTAAATAAGGCATCATGTGGTATGCTTGAAAAGTGTATAGTTGGGCTGGCTGCAGTGGCTCACGCCTGTAATCCCAGCACTTTGGGAGCCCGAGGTGGGTGGATCACCTGAGGTCAGGAGGTCAAGACCAACCTGGTCAACTTGGTGAAACCCCATCTCTACTAAAAATACAAAAAAAATTAGCTGGGTATGGTGGCAAATGCCTGTAATCGCAGCTACTTGGGAGGCTGAGGCAGGAGAATTGCTTGAACCTGGGAGGCAGAGGTTGCAGTGAGCCGAGACGGCGCCATTGCACTCCAGCCTGGGCGACAAGAGCGAAACTCTGTCTTTAAAAAAAAAAAAAAAAAGTGTGTGGTTGATCTAATAAAAAAAGATATAGATGGTAGAGAAAATCCTCTCAACCCTTTCATGGAGAGTGTGGTAAGGATATATTTGGTAAAATTTTGAAAAGTTATATATTCTAAACCAAATTAGTGTTTCACTTCGTGGTAAGAGAAGTTGGGCTTTATCCTGTTTTTCATGAAATATACAGGTCCTGTGTGAAGCTCAGTTAGCATGTCATCCGTGTGACTGGCATGAGCTCATGGTCTCTCCACTGAGGAAAGCTGGGAGAAATGGTGCCAGCACTTAATGCCACCCCTGAGCAAATGCCTGCTGGCTCCATGGTAAACATGGGCCTTTTAATAGGCTGGAGACAAAGTGACATTCAGAAGAAACAACATGTCGACAATTTCCTTAATAAATTTTGTACGAACACATTATTTCCACCTAATGGAAATGTAGCTCTCTTAAATAATTGAGAGGCTATATTCATCAGTGGCGAGTTCAGCTGGGATCTTTGTGAGCTAAGGCAGCCGAAAGCCCCTTGGAAGACTGGGTAATTGATATTTTGCACAAGTGGCTGGACCAGTTTTCAGAGTGTCTGTGTGACATTCCCTGCAGCTCCCTCAAACAGCTCTCCTCTGTCCAAGCAGTTACAAAGCAGCTCTACACTGGAGGCTCCAGTTGCAGCCACTGTACTGCCACGACTAAGGGTTAGTAATTAATCCTTTTTAAAATGGGAGCCAACTCAGGCCATTTCCCCTTGCTGTGGTTTCTTACTGTCTGCTGACCGGCCACTGCATTAGCACACAAGGTCTTGATTTTAATAAAGCATGATGATATTGAATGTTCAGCATGTAGCACATTCCTGTGTGCCAGATGATAGTAGTATGCTGCTGAAAAAGCAACCAATATGTTTGTGAAATGAATGATGGATGAATGAATGAATGAACAGTGAGAGAACAAGTACTAGAGGAGGTTAGCAGGGGTCATAACTGCAGCAAGCTAGAGACTTTGGTGTGGACTTCGAAGGGAAGTCAGGAATGCAGTTAAGGGTGGGAAGAATGCCAAGGAAAATACGAAGGTAAATACACAGTACTTTTCGCCCAGACAAGAAAAATTGGGCTTCCTGTTTCTAGGGTGCCTTCTTGAAATTTGTGGTTGGGTCAAAAAGCCGAAAGGTAGCAGTGTGTGCAGTCGTTCATGCCTGTAATCTCAACACTTTGGGAGACTGAGGCAGGCAGATCACCAGAGCCCAGGAGTTCGAGACTAGCCTGGGCAACATGACGAAACCCTGTCTCTACAAAAATTAGCCAGATTGGTGGCTGCTGAGGTGGGAGGATTGATTGACCCCAGGAGGTGGATGCTGCATTGAGCTATAATTGCACCACTGCACTGCAGCCTGGGTGACAGAGTGAGAGCCTGTCTCAAAAAAGAAAAAAAAAAAAAAAAAAAAAGGCACCTAGGCAATGAGTGGGCTGTAGGCCCTGCCAGCCCTGGGTCCTGGATAGTCTCCCTGGGTGGGAAGAGAGACTACTGGAGAACAGGGAGTTCCTGGTGGAGAGGAGGGGGCCCTCATGCCTCAACAGTGATTCGTGTTGTTTCTTTTGGCCTCCCTGTACTGTTTACGGAGCTGTGACCGTATCACAGTGAAGGCTCTAGTTGCTTAATTACTTTTTGTTTTTATTTGCAGGTAGTTCCTGAAATGACTGAGATATTGAAGAAAAAATGAATCAGGATCATGCCTTAAAAAGAAAAATTATGTTAAAGTATTCCACTGAAATCACAGATATTTGTGGGTACTATAACAATCATTGGAAAGCATGGAGGGCTACGTTTCATAATTTGAGGAAAATTTTCTGACAGATGCCAGAATGCTTGTTTATGGGATTACTATGTTTCCTTTTAATTATTTGTGGTTCCAAGCAGTTATTTTTTGAAATTTTTAAATTCTGTAATAAAATCTATAATAAAACTTTTCCACAGCTTTAAAACTATCAGAAATATGCCTAGCCTCTAGAGAAAATTGAAGAAAAGGAGTAAAAAAATTTTGTTTATTTATTTATTATTTTTGCCTTTCTTGTTCATGGAGAGCTCTATATTTTAGGAAGATTGTAAACATGATTGTCTCCACCAGCCTAATCAACCTAACTAATCTCATTGTTGAAGGGCAAACCTCATAGGAGAAGGTAACTGAATTGGCAAGTACAGAGTTTAAAAGCATGGCTATAAAGCACGAATATTATCTTAAACATACTCCAGTCTTCAGAAAACCATAACTAATGTGACAGAAGCAGACCTGACTAAAACCTGACCCAGCTCCATGTATTTAGTTGGCTTAAGGTAAATTTCATTTTCCATTTCATTTTAAGGTTTTGTCAGTTTATAGGACTTTTTTGTCTGTAAAGGAGGGAGAGTGGAGGAGGGGCTGCTTTGAGACAGCATGGCCTCTGATGCAAACAGATAGTTTGATGTTATTATAAACGTTCAAAATTCTGTGCAGAACAGAATGCTCTGTGCTTTCTTTTGCCTTCTGTTGGCTGCTTTTGGGCCCTCTTAGGAAGCACCCAGGCCTGTGTAGTCACCTCTGGCACTCTCATTCTGCTGCCCAGGGCACAGCTGAGGTCCAAGAGTGTCACCAGGGCTGCAGCTGGTGTGGATGCAGGCCCAAGAGCAGAGGCTGGTGAGGCTTTGAACAGGCCTGCAGGAAGGCGTGGGTAGGTAGGTGAGTAGAACAAAGAGGGCTGCCCTCCTGAATCAGATCTGCAGAAGTGGAAGTAGTGACCTGGATCAAGCAGACAGTAGGGAAGAGAAGGGAAGTGGTAAGTGATGGAGGTGGCTAGAGTGCCTTTGTGTGGCCAGCCTGGGGCCCTTCCCCAGCTGACCAGTGAACCCTTTCTGATTTGTGTCACAATCAGTTGCTATAAAACACTTTTAAAAGTTATGTCTTTGGCATTTCATTCTTCTTTTAATGAGAGGAGAGCAGTAGAATGATGCCTCTTTGCAAGTAATGTCTGTTAGAATCGAAGAATCCTAGAATCTCTGAACCCAGTGATCATCTGGTCAGACCCCTTGTTGTATAGATGGGGATACTGAAGCACAGAGAAGTGAAGAAGGTAAAGTGACTTGGCCAAGACCACATGGCTTGAATCACCTTTGGGAGAGTAATTCCTATGTCTTGTTTTTATCTTTGAGGCTCTTCCTAAGAGGGCTAACCTTGCTCAGGATTTTCTCCATTTACCCCTCATCCCTATTGGATGCTATAACTGGGGGGCATGAGAGATGGCAAAGGTAATGGCTGCAGAGGCACCCCCAGTAGAAGGTGTGCTGGCTCAGGGAGGGACATCCCAGGTGATGCCTTGGCATAGTTCCTTGACTCAGAGTTGAACTGGTTGGTCTTTTTCTCTCTGCCCCCTCCTGTCATGGCTGCACTGCCTTAGCCCCAAGCAGCTGTTCACTGGACTAGTATTTACAGCTCATCATCCTCATAGCATTAAGTATAATGCTTACTATATACCAGGCACTGTTCTAGCACTTTATACATATTAAACCCCTTCAGTTATCACAGCACCCTGTAAGTTAGATGCTATTATTATCCCTCTTTTACAGATGGGGAAGCTGAGGCTCAAAGAGGTCATATAACTTGCCTTAATTCGGACAGCTTATAAATGAGAGTCAGGATTTGAAACCAGGCAGACTGGCTTCAGAGTGGTAACTTCACTAAGGACGTGATTCTCCCTCACCTCAGCTCAAGGGACAGTGCGACTGCACAGCACCCTCAGGTAAAGAGCACTAAGTACTTCGTGCTGGGTGAGAGGGGCACATTTAGGACCCTGGTTGAGGAGGGATGGGCGTTCTGGAATAGTCCCTCCAGTGGGATTTTATTCAACTCAAAAGTCCCTCTGAGTGCTTACTTAGAGCTTACCATAAAAAGGCAGCCATGTGAGGTGGAGGCAAGTTGTTAAAACTATTATACATGCAAGAGGGACATATATATAATGTGCCCTTTTAATCTGTTTTTTTTGGAAACCAAACAGTTCCTGTTGACTCTGCCCCTGTGTCCAGCCTTAGCACCCAGAGCAATAGCTCTAGAAATAGTATGGGGGAAAGGTGTTAGGGGTAGCTTTCTTTAATGCTTGCATATAGGTTTCCTGCCTTCCTCCCTAGTTTCTTTGATGTCTTTGGTTAACCTCACACAGCCTCTGAGAATTTGGTGGCCTGGTTATTTTGGCAGAACACAGAGTCCCTGGGAGGGCAGAAATAGGCCTGTTAGAAAGGCAGCCCTCTGAGGGCAGAGCCAAGCAGGTCCGTGAGCTGAAGCTAATGGCCTATTCACTTGCAGAAGGCCTGAGGCCTAGTAATGGCCCTGGGCCCAGCTTCTTAGTAGTTGAGACAGCATCAGCTTTCCCCCAGGTCCCACTCTCTCTCAGCAATTCTGTAGGGACATGTTCCCTGCTGGGTTCTCTGGCTCACCAGCTGTGCTGTTTGGGACTCTGAAGAAAATACCTAGAAGAGTGTGGTCTAGCCATTGCCCCAAAGTAGCTTGTGGTCTTGACAGAGAGGACAGTATCCTTCCAGACTCTGAGAGTACAGGCTGTTGGAGCCACAGCCCCCGCCCTGAAGGATTTTACAGCTACCAGGAAAGATGAGATGAGACATCAGTAAAAGCAGAAAGTAGGTCTCAGGATGGACAGCATATACAGAGAAGGCTCCTCAGGAGGCTGGCATGGCCATTCCTCAGCGGGCAGGGGCCGTTCAATTGGTGTATGGGAGCAGAAGTGGCAAATTATATCAGAGCTCAGGTGCATGAGGCAGTGAGGGGCAGAAACACTGGGGTTGGGGAGGGGAGTGAGGGTGGTAGGTAGTTGAAGCCAGGTTGGAGAGGACATTGACTCAGAGGCTGAGGAGCCCTTTTTCCTTAGAGATCAGTGGTTCTCCCCTTAAGGAACACTGCCATTTCCATTGGACCTGCGATGGTACTGTGAAAGTTACACCATACAGGACTTTTCCTGATTTGCAGGAAAAATTTATCAACAGCAGTTTCCCAGTCTTAAGTCTTTCTTGCATACTGCTCTGTAAACCTTTGGTAGCTACTACCCCTTTTCTTCTTAAGAATGTGAGCAGATTCCAAGGTGACTGGACAGTACCAAGTGGATCTGAACAAAGCAGCCGCTGACCCACCACGGCTTTTGTTTTTGTCTTGGGATATATCAGGGATTTTGTTGAATATTTAAAATACTTTCTGCTAGTTGGTAATTGTTCCTTGTTTGTTAGATATGTCAGTGTATTAAGAGTGTCCCATCAAAACTGTATGACTTCCTGTGCCACCTGAACAAGTCTTAAGAAACACTGCTGGCAACAGGGAGCCATTTACAGTTTTTGAGGAAGGCCTATAACTTGGTGGTATATGCAGGACAGAGGGAGGTAGGAAAAGATGGAAGCCATTAGGGGCTGAATCCTCTGGCTTCAGATGGATTTGGCTGGGGATGGATTCCTGGAGATTGTGAAAATGGGTCCAGTGCTGTGGGCAAGGCTGGCATTGGGCAGGGCTCTTCTTCCCAGGATAGCAGTGGGAGCCCTGCTGCCTCCAGAGCCCGAGCATGTCTGCTGGGCTGGAAGGCTGGAAACCCCAGCCCTAGGTGCATTTTCTGCTCTGTTTCTGAAAGGAGGGTCAGCTTGATTGCATTTCACGCTGTCTTTCACTAAGGGTTTTTGTTTGAGTTTACATAAAAGTGGACTGAAAAGGCTGGGAAACTCAGAGAATACCATTGATTGTAACAGATGGATTTGGTTAGCTGTTGCTGAGCTAAAGGAGGCTTGACTGATAACCTTGTGAAAAGTCCATGTAGGATGATACACTGCCACAATTTCTTATAGCTCTGGGGTTTTAAAAACATCTTTGTGGGGAGCAAATGAAGAAGAGTTGCTGATAATCCTTGGCTTATAAAGCACTTTCATGTATGTCACCCCATCAGTTGGGGAAAGAGTAGAAGACATTCAAGAACTCAGACTCTCAGGAGAGGAGGCAGTTTGCCCCAGGTCACAACACATGTGATAGAACTGGAACACAAACCAGAACTTTGGGCAAATACTACTTATTAAGAACTCCCTGCGTGTTGGGTACATTACATACTCTTCTAATACAACCACCTCTAAAGTGTGTATCATTACGCCTACCTTCTGGATGAAGAAATGAGCAGAGAGGTAATGACCAGAGGCAGTTGGTGAGATGTGGGACCCGAACTGGACTCCAGGTCTGGAAAACTTGGCCTGTCTACTAGACTGTGGTCCTCCCATTCTCTCCGGGACTATATCCTCTGGTTTGCATTGCTTCAAAACAGCAGGCTTGTCATTGGAAGCAAGGAACACCGATGGAATTACGGATTTTCTATGAAGTAGGCTGGCATTTACTTACTGTGGCATCAGGACTGGTGAGAGGGAGGCCCTGGGGTGGCTTTATCTGCGTGACCTTTGCCTTCTTCATCTCCTACAACTAACTGGACATGTGGTTAAAGACAGGGTGAGTGCTTTCTTTTTGTGTGCTCACCTCCAGCTGTGTTTCCTTCCCAGTGTGGGCTGTATAGGGGACATTTGGGTCTGGGACCTGGGGACCACTGGGTGGACTGGATTCTCATCCTGTTCCTGTTACTGCCCCAGAGGCACCCTGGTCACCTTCCCTCCTTTCAGGTTTCATTTTCATCATCTGTAAAATGGTGACATGAACTAGATGATCTTTCTAGATAACAAGCTTTAACCTATGAGTGTATTGGTGGGTGTCCTACAAGGTGAGTAGATGGAGACAGTGAATACTGTTTTTGAGGGCTTCTTATGCCCAGGATGCTGGGCCCTTTACATACATTGTTTCATTTACATCTTATAACCTTACAAGGTGTAGGTTTGACCTGGGGCAAACTACCTCCTCCCCTGAGAGTCTGATTTCTTGAATGTTTCCTACTCTTTCCCCCACTGATGGGGTGACATACATGAAAGTGCTTTATAAGCCAAGGATTATCAGCAACTCTTCTTCAGATGAGAAAACAGCTTAAAACACTTGCCCAAGGACTCATGGCTAGTAAATAGTGACCATAGGCCAGTCTGCTCCCAACCACGTGCCATATCCCGAGTGCCTCAATGGGAGTGCAGAGGATGGACCTAATCTAGCCTGACTGGGGTGGGCTGCAGTGCAGGGCAACAAGATATGACGACCTCACCAAGTTGAGAAGGAGCAGCAAAATCAACCAGATGAAGAAGTGCATTCCAGGCAGGCCAGCATGGACAAGGAACAGGAGTACCCAGGAACATGACACACTGAGCTGCTTTCTCTGGAAAATGCAAGGTCTAGACTCCAATGCCTGAGTCCCCTTCTAGCCGGACACTCCTCCATTCTGAACCACTCTTTGCTCAGGGAAGCAAGGGTCTTCGTACTGCAATCTGGATCCAGTCTGCTCATTGGCCTTTTGTAGTATTTAGCACAGTGCACGTCCCAGAACCCCCTACCCCTTCTTTAATCAGTGGAGGCAGAGGTGAGCATACCTAGTTATGAGGCCTAATTGATGTTGGGGAGGTTCCTAGAGTGCTTGGTGAAGGGTGACCCATAAATCTCAGACACTGAAGAATTCTGCCACATCCATCACAGTGTTTAATGTCCTGATTGATCTCCAGGGTAGTCAATTTCATTTGCTTGTTTCAGGATGAATAGGCAGCCTGCTTCCCTATGCTGCAGCCTGGGGCTCTGCATAAAATTATGCCAGCATTGTGTCCTGATAGCTTGCTATAAATTTTAGCAGCAAATGTTTCATCATTTTCCTTGGATAATTAACTATTCACCAGGAGAGAATACCAAACTTTTCAGCAGTGGAGTCAAAGATATTCAGAATAGTGATGAAGTCCTCACTTAGTTAATGTTAGGGAAATACAAGTTTTTGGCAAGTACTTCAGTAGT